CCCCACACATCAAACTATCACACTGTCATGGTCTGTAGTCGCTAATCAATATAGGATGATCAGATAATTCCTGTTGGAAAGGGCCTCAGGAGGTTCATAGCACAACCTCCTCCTCAAAGTATGTCAGCTCCGAGATCAGAGCATGTTGCTCAGCGCTATATCCAGTCTGATCTTGAAAACCTCCAAGGGTGGAGATGACACAACCTCTCCAGACAACCTGTTCCTCAGTTTTTCCTTATGTCTAGTTTAAACCTCTGTTGTTTCAAGTTGTTCTCATTGTCTGACTTCATCTTCTCAGTGACCTTGCTGTAGATAGCAGCAGGCTGCTGTTGGAACCCCGGTTATGCCCAGGCAGTCTTCCATCCAAGTACTGAGTGTGCTCAGCCCTGCTTTAACTTCAGAGATCAGCCAAGCTCAGGAGCGTTGCATGGCGTAGCCACAGGCAGATGTGAGCTGCTGGTACGGCTGCTGTTTCATTTCTGGAGGAATTTCACTGTTAACCTGCTGAAAATTGCACCTGCATCCCTTCTCTGTTGAATACAGTTTAACCTAAGTGATTTCCAGTCTGATACAACTTCTCACCTTATGACAACTGAGCTTCTCTAACAGCCTTTTGTAAAGGTTTCGTCAAAGGATTTCTGAAAGTCAACACTAATTACATGTACCAGTGTTCTCACTGCTAATTTGACACACTTCAGGAATTATAATGGAGCCCGTCAGAGACATGACTTCCCCTTGCAGAAGCCATGCTGCTTTGTCACGATGATAATTTGCCTGGTTAAGTGCTCTGTAGCTCTGCCATGATTGAGATTTACCTTTTCACATAATTAAGCCAGTTCTGATGCAGGACTTTCTGGTCTGTCTCAATAAGATTTGTTCTCCCCTAATGTTTCCCTTTAAAAACAGGCACCAGGTTGCCTGTCCTCTAGTCTTATGAAGCAGGAGCTGTTTTTTTGTGGTAGGCAATGAGGTTTGGTTTTTTTGGTAGCAGCTCAGGCAGTGCGTTCATGAGTTCCTGGAGAGTTTTGGGCAAGCGCTGGCCAATAGAGACAACATGCTGCAAACCGAAGTGATCCGCATGTTCCATGAGCAACTTTTTTGGTCTCCTGAGGTCTCCTGCCTCTTCTGTGCTGCCCATGCAGAAGGGCTTGGTGGGATCTCCCACCTGTTGCAGTGGAAGGACCGTGTAAGCAACGTTCCAATTCACTGCAGTTGCTGGCCTTTACCAGCAACATTTTTTGGCACGGTTTCAATGGTGCTTTCCTTGCCCACAATAGTTTGTGCCAGTTTCTGGAAACTTTTGTTTCAAAGAGGCTTTTTCTGGCAGTATGGTGACCTATATCCAAACAAATGCACAGCATGTTCTTTTGAGCCAGAGAAAGGCTTGCTAAGACATTCTCTCTTCAGTTTGAAGAAATACCAAGGGTGTAACAATGATTTCCATGAAGAAGGTTCTGCAAACTCAGCATAATACTGAATTCAGCAAAAAGTTGTGTGTTTTGAGTTAACACTGTATGAAAGACTTCCAGCCCAGCTTGCCTCAGAGTTCAGAGTTAGTGCTTGATCCCTACTGAGGAGAGAAAAAAAACTAATGTTGAATTCTGCTGCTTTTTTCTTGCTACTACATGCCAAAGCCCTGCAATGACCTTTTCTCTTTGACTCCAAACCCTTTCCCTGTGAAAATGAACAATATACTTCCCAGTGCATAGTTTCACCATCTTGCTCCTGTCCTGCAGGATAAAGCCCTCTTGGAGAGGAAACACCGCATGCCTGGCAGTCATTCAGCCGATGGCAGATCATGCAAAGGGAAGACCATAAATCACTTGTGTTGAAACATTAAAAGCTGATAAATAGGTGGTCCTGAGCCATAGCCCAGCCCCAGCTTCCCCGTGCGCAATGCAGGGCTCGGGGTGCTTCCTGGAGCGGCCAGGAGCACGGCCAGGGGAAGTCTGTGTCGGGCTGAGATTGCAGCTGCTGGCCAGGGCATCCCTGCGGGCTGTCAGCAGCTGTGGGAAGGGGCACAATGTGGATCCGCTTTTGGGAAGCCTCTGGAGTCACAACAGTAGCCTTGAGAAAGCATGGCGATAGAAGTGGCTGAGTGGAGGTTCTTCCCAGGAGCCCAGCTAGGGATCCACTGGAGCAGAGGGTGTGATTTACAGCCGCAGCATCTCAGTACCACATCGGTCAGGTTTCCTAGCATAGAAGGCAGGCTCACTCGCCAGCGGGGAAATACACCGTGTTATTTTCAGTACTTCACAGGGCATGTAATGAATTTTTTTTAAAAAGACACTTGATGAGAGCTGTAGTTAAAAAGTGGGAAATTACTAATTAGTAACCAAGTAATTCAGGGTTTGATTCACACAAATTGCACTATTACTGTAAAAAAGGATTGCAATTTCAGGCAAACAGTGTTTTTTGTGTTTTTTTTTTAAAAAGACACTGAAAGTATAATTGATGTTCTGTTCGTTACCTGCCAGGTTTCAAGTTTCTTTTACATTTTTTCATCATCTGAGACATTACAGACATAAGACATGCCTGGGAAAAAAAAAAAAAAAAGAACACTTTCCCCTTCGCATTGTCATTTACAGCTCTCAGGTTTTCCCACTAGATTGTTCTTGTAAACTCTTGCATTTCGTAGCACGCAAGAGTGACCACTTGGAACATCATTATAACGCTATCGTTAGCATCAGAGTTCAGTTACACAAAAAGCTATGAGTGGAATGAGCTGACTATCAGTTTCTGGTTTACCTTACTGTAGTGCTAATAAAATGATTGCTATCAATTCTTCTTGTTAGTCTCAATTTATGAGGGGAAGAAAAAAAAAATAATGAATTTTCTCCTGATGAAGAAATCCAACTGATAGCACAAAAAACCCCACAGTGTCTCCCTTCTTTACCTGTGTGCACATTGATGAGCAGGTTTGTATCTTCTGTCTAGATATGAAGTTGGTGAAGGGCTAATGGATACTGGGTTGGTTGTTGGGGTTTTTTTCTGTTCATGTAGGTATTTCAGCTGAGTACTCAGAAGCATAGCATGAGTCAGCAGTACGTACTGAAAATACCAGTAACAGAGAAGCTCTAAGCATCCCATTCAGAATTCCAGTAATATTATAGTTTTCTAACGTTGGCAAAAACACCCATTTTGTAGAGTCATCATAGCCACCAGCTTAAAAATACTCCTACAAAGGTGGGAAGATGGAGCTATTTTTGAGGAGTCTAGTAAATACTTACAAGTGCTTACTTGTACAAGTAACAAGCAGGTCCCCTAAGTCCATTTTTTACTAGATTATTAGTATCTTTTGAATGACGCTGTAGGAAAATGATGCCCTGGTTTGAACACATAGCAGGAGAAATAGTTTGAAGTCACGGTGTGTCTACATGCATACCTATATATTGTACTAGCAAAGGAAAATGCTGCAAAGAACCACATTAAAAAGTAGTGGAGAAGGAATTTTCCTTCTACTTTCTGCAGTGGTCAGATATTTGCAGTGCAACAGTATCATACCAAGATACGCCAGTTCAGAGGCAATGCAGAACAGCAGGCAGGGAACTTTCTAGCTGAGACAGTTTTAACGTGTCTTACATCCTCCAACCTCTGTTGGGCTGTTTAGCCTGGAGAAGAGGAGGCTGAGGGGAGACCTGATTACGGCCTATAAATACTTGAGAAAAGATGGTGGGGAGGTAGGGGAAGGACTCTTTGCATTAGTGATGGGTGATAGAACAAGAGGAAATGGGCATAAGCTTAGTCAGGGGAGATTCAGGTTGGATGTTAGGAAGTATTTCTTCTCTGAAAGGGTTGTCAGCCACTGGAATAGGCTGCCCAGGGAGGTGGTTGAGTCCCCATCCCTGGATGTGTTTAAGAATAGGGTGGATGATCTACTTGAGGATATGGTTTAATGGGGATTAGGGATGGTTGGACTCGATGATCTCTAAGGTCTTTTCCAACCTAGAAATCTATGAATCTATGAATCTATGAATCTATGAATCTATGAATCTATGAATCTATGAATCTATGAATCTATGAATCTCTGCTCTGCTGACAGGAGGGGGAGACTTCCCTGCAGGCAAGGGTGGCCCCAGCACCACGTGCTGCCCAGCCAGCAGGGGCTGTACCTCCACATGAGTTGAGGGATTTTCTTGGGTCTATGAGTCTGGAACTCAGAAACTGCTCTTTTCTGTAAATGACATTAAACTGCTGGTGAAGGTGTGTTGCTTTTGCCATACCTGGAAATTGATTTCTTTTAAGCCACTAAACATCTTTCTTTCTTCCCTTAAGACTTAAAATGGCTCTAATTCTGATTGAGAGATGAGGTCGCTGTAGTTAGTGGCTTGTCTTCATTGGGTACAGTTCCACCATGCCTTTCACTTGAGCTGAGGCCTTCAGTGTAAACACACATCACTGCCTGTAAACTGGATAACAGGCTGGGGTTTTGAGGGTTTTTTCCCCTTGATCTGAAAATAACAGAAGCAAGTAAAAAGCCTTTTTTTTTCACTATTAGAAGACCCGACAGTCACTCTTGCTTTTTTTGCTAAAATCTTCTAAAATTTCCCATGTCCCCATCTTATTGCCTCTACTGAATCGAAAATCGTAGTTGCGAAGTAGGTGGTTGAAGGAAAGCACTTTGCAGTCCATCTAAATTCTGCTTTGGTTTTGAGGGGGGAAGTCAAGGCGGTGTTAGGTAATTGAAGCACGGCAAAGTGAAAGCCGATGGCAGCGAACACCCTTCCCCATACCATCCCCAAGCAACTTGCTCGGATTTAAGAATTCGTGGGCTGCTTGGCCGTGGTCCAGGGTATCCAGAAATTGGACCGCATCCCGCCGCACCGCGTTCACCCGTCAACTGAGTTGCTCCTCACCACCTTGTTTGTGTTTTCTTCCTCCCTTCTCCGCTGCAGGGTGTGAACGGCATGTCTGTGGATGAGAAGACTGACTCCCCCATGTATGTGTATGAGTCAACGGTGCACTGTACCAATATTCTCCTCTGCTTAAATGACCAGCGGAAGCAGGACATTCTCTGTGACGTGACGCTGATCGTGGAGGGGAAGGAGTTCCGCGCCCACCGGGCTGTGCTGGCTGCCTGCAGCGAGTACTTCTTGCAGGCCTTGGTAGGGCAGACGGAAAATGACCTGGTGGTCAGCCTGCCGGAAGAGGTATAGTATGTCGCCGTTCCCCCGCCGTAAACACGAGCCCCCTCCATCCCGTGTGGTGAGGAATACCTCCACGGTCTGCTAAGGCAGCCAAGGGGAGCATGGTGCCAGTGTCGGTGCCTGCCCTGGCACAGCTCTGGATGTGGATTTTGTGTTTGGGTGGGTTACAGATTGCTGAAGGATGGACATGTTCATGCCAGTCTTACTTGCCAGCAGTAATTCCTAAGGGCTGCGGCAGCAAAGCTTTAAGATGCTTCAGATCACCTTTCTCACTGCTGCTGAGGGAGTTGTACCCAAACGCTTCATTATCATAGCTTTGTTCAGGGTGTTATCAGGACCCTGATATTCTTCTGCTCTTCCAGACAGGAAACTTGAAAGGGGCCATTTGACTGCTGGACTGCAGGCTATTGTTGAAAAAATTGTTTGAGCTGTCACGTTGTTGGGAGTCTCATTGCTGTCCACCCCTCTCCGGCAGCTCATATCCTTATCCTCCTCTTTCCCCTCTTCTGCACCTTATTCAGCCTTGCTTTCTCTCGCCTCCCCTCACGACAAGTTTGGGATTTAATTGCTTCAGACCATGTGTTTTCCACCAAGAAACCGTGAACACCGTCTGTCAAAGAGCAGGGTTTTTCTCATGCGGCATGGCTCCCACAGCAGGAAGCCAAGGGACGTAGAAAATACATACCTCACTGGAAAGTTTACTTTATTTTACCACAAAATCTCACTGGCTGACTTCCACCCCCACTGTAATTTCCTCACAGCCGTATGGCCGTGACAGCACAGCTACCATAGGGCACGCTGGTGGCTTTGCTGCCCACAAAGGGGAGATATGTCTGCTGGCCAGGGCTGCCACCACACGCCACCTCGGCACTGCCTGCCTGGCATCTCGGGCTAGGACAGGCGGCGCGAGAAGGGTGGTGATGCACACAGGCCACAGGACGGCAGTCGCTCGGTGGGAAGTTACTCTGGCATACAGAAGGTTTTTCACCATCATTTGCTTAACCCCCATGAAGAAGCACGGTGTGTTTTTAAATGATGACAGGTTCCCAAAGTGTCACACACTGTTTTTCCCCCTCTGGTTTAGCTCTCCAGAGACTTCAGTGGTGTCATGCTGTTGTCACGGCACAAGTTGGAGAGCATTAGAAGTAGGTCACCGGGTGTGACTTCATGAGTCTTGACAGTGAATATTACTCATGAAGACATTTCAACCCAGACATTTTGCATAGGAGTTTAGAGATAGCGCAGAGGACGCGCTAGGATGCACACTGTGATTCTGCAGTGTCCACTAATAATTTCCAGTGGAATAATCGAGTCTCAGTCAGTGTCATGTAGCTTTCACACTGCAAAGCAAGGGTGGAAGCAGAGAGGTGGCAAAACATGCCCAGGGGTGCACAGGTAAGAAGAGACAGGAGAATATCAGCACTCTTCTACAAAGCCTTGGTGTGACCTCCATGTATGATTCAGGTCCAGTTAGATAAAGAAAAATAATTGAAATTTAAATAAGCATATACAAGAGTGACTGAGATGTTCAGAAGAAGGAGCCTGGCCTGAAGGAGAGGAGAAGACCATGGCAGGTTCATCCTGCTGGCGTGACAACTGTGACATGCTACAGCTCCATGTAGACAGAGAAGATGAAACGACTGAGAGGAGGAGTTTCTCTAATACTAAAAGACAGTGTTGACACGAGCATTGATTGTTTTCAACTGGCTTTTGGTAAAAGTAGATTGGAAATTTAACAGATTTTTAATCACAGAAGCGGTGAGATGCTGAGCCGCAGACCAGTGGTAGTGGAGGGATCATAATGTGTCTGCACTTGGTGATCCAGTCCTTTGTTCATATGATGCTAAAGATTTAAAACACGAAAGTTTGTCTTTGTGTTTTATATGAGATACTACGTTAAAAAAAACTCCTCCGATCCCACCATAAATTATTTCTATTTAAGTGAATCCCCTTTGGATAAATGAAGTATTGGGTTTTTACATTTTAGAATATATCTTGATGAAAGATCAAAAAGTTTTAGTGACTTAGGGTTACACTGGCTGCTGTTACAGCTCCAGTGTTATTTCTTGGTTATTCCTTGGTTAAAGTGCATGTCTTTGCTTCTGGTCTTGCTCTTTGGTGAGGTGCCTGTGCTTAGGTGTGGAAAGTGCCTCTGACAAAGGACAGTGTCGGAGCTCCTCATGAAAGGAACTGAAACACTCCTGGTTTTTAAGAGCTCATAGAGCAGGGGAAAAACCGTCTTAGTTATATGGCGTTAAGAGAAGTTAGCAGAGTCTTTTCCAGTTCACGAGCTAATGGCTCTTCCCAAGGCTGTTGGTTTTAGTCCATGGTCTGCAGAGCTCTCAGCCCATGAGTTATTTCTAAAGGTATCTGTGAAAACTGACATAATCTGTCATGCAGGGGGTTATACCTCCAGTGGAAAAAATTCAGACAAAAGTTGGAAGTCAAGGTCCTGAGCCAATACTTTTTTCAGGCTTACAGGCAATTTATGTTGTCATATAGTTGTTACAGAAAAACAGAGACTGAAAATAATTTTTAAATACAGTCTTCATGGTTCAAAACTTTTCCGAAGGTGACAACTGCTCCTAAACTGACAAAGATGTTTTTTAAATCAGCCATGCAAGCATTATGTTTTAAATTCTGCTATGGTTTGAAAACTGCTAAAGTATGCAATTGTGGAGAAAGAGCATTATTATTATTATTTCTTAAAGGTTTTATGTTGGAGCTGGATAAAGCTTTATATATAAAGCTTTTACACTCATGTAATGTTGATGTGAGGGAACTTAACATCAAAACAAAAGAACCTATTTTTGATTATTCAAAGCAGTAAATCTGCCTCTAAAGTCTGAATTGCAGACTTTTTTTTTCCTTCATAGCATATTGGGGTCTGTTTGTTAATCTGGCATCCAGACATTGTTAACTGTTGTCTAGCTAAACAACGAACAGATGCTTTTTACATTATTTCTTGTTTCTATCCTATTACAAGTGAGAGCAGTCTTTATGATACGCCAGTCATTTCAGTAGGGAGACGTTGTGCACACACAGAATTGGGACTAGTTGAACTTACGGGGTTTTAAACCACTGCAAAGTCTTGTGTTAGGCATTTCAGGTCAGTTCAAGCGTGACTTCAGTTGAAAACCTTTCCCTAATCATCTTAAACTAAGTCAGTGTGGAGCTAATTCTGCACTGATTGAAGTGTTTCCATAAACCCTTTTGTGCTAGCCTCGGTAATTTGATTTCGTACTACACCTTTTGTTAAAGCAACGTGTTTTAGTGTGTAGATAAGTGCTTGGAAAAACAGCCACGTAAGAACAAGGGCTCAGATGTGGCCTTGGTCAGCCCTTGGAGCTCAGTTAGAGGAATGGAGTGTGTCAGCTGCCTCCAGCTAATAAAAAGGAACTCCCTTAGCTTTTAACTTCTGTGCCTTTCTCTTCAGTTGCAGTTTTTGGTAGACAACTAGAACTTCGCCTGCTTTTCACCCAGGGTATTTTTCAGCAATTGTGCAGGTTTTCTCTAGCAGCTGCTGTTAAATGCAGCTTAAAATTAATATTTTCCAAGAGCTGAGTTTTAAGCTGTAAAGTTAGTCATTCACTCCATACCCCTAACTGTTGTTTTGTTTTATTTAATCACGAAAACTGGTCTTCCTTCCTTTAACAAGGCACTTAATTAAGCTTTTAATTCATGATAAGAAGTTAAATGGCACTTATGAGGCTTTTTTAATGGTTTCCACTTCCCATCCAGATTACAAAAAAAGGTGTGATAGAGAGAGAGACACGGCTGTCAGCCAGGGGTATTGTAGGTCATGCCAATATTAGCTGGCAGCAGGCCATTATCCAATTAACATTGCTTCATCGCTGCAAGTAATAGCTCTCGAGTAGATGATTGAGTCATTCATGCTGTAGTGGTACTCTACTTTACTTGAAAAGGAGCCAGTGCTTCGTCGAATAGGCTTTTTATTCGCTATTATTACCTGCCTGGCTTTGCTAATAGAAGTGCACAGCGCTGTCTGTATGGACAAGCTGGAAGCTGGGTGCTGGGCAGAGGAGCATCGTCTGTGCAAACACCTTATTCACCTGGTTTTCTGAAGGCTGAGGCTGAAGTTAATTGGGGAAAAGACAGAAAGAGCAACAACAAATAAAACCCCTCCATTGTATGAGAGTCCTACAGCTTACAAATGAGATTCCTGACCTTGCTGGGGATTTTTTTACTTTGGGGCGTACATCTGAAAACAGCTTCCCCTCGTTATTCCAGCCATGAGAGCACCAAATGCCTTTCTCTCTGGTGAAGTTAAAGGCGGGTCATCAGAAGCAGTAGACCTAGCTTTCTGTAGTGCTGGTCTAGTGCTATGCTTTCTGTTAGAAAACCAACTTGCTTCTCAAGTAGACTGGTTAGTTTTACCTGTAACTTTCAAATTTCTTGAATCGGTTTCAAAGAGTGGCCACTGGTGACTTATTTTAGTGCAGTGAACTATCTGCTGGAGATGTTGCCTTCCAAAAGAGTTAAATGGAGTTATCTATGGCTTACACATCTTCCGAGGGGCAAAGGGAAGCAGCGTCTCTCTTAGGAAGAGGGGGTGGGATGTGCTTGGGTAGCTTTTTTGTTTGTTTATCTGCACAGCTCTTTTCTTTGCTATTAAGAGAATGATGTTGAAAGTATGTGTTAGCGCACACCACGGGCTGAATTTCTCTGCGTTCTTACTGCTTTACTGCTCCCCGACGGCTGCTGCGAAACCTCCTGTTTCCCCACGCGGTCTAGCCCTGTGAAATCTGTCATCTGCTTCTTCAGTTGACGTGGGTTAACTCCCTAACCTGGTTAATCTTTGCAAGGAGAAAGGCAGGACAGGACTTCGATTCAGATTCAAGGCTGGCGAAAGCTGAGTATGTTGGAAAGCGAAGGCATGCAGCACCCTGGGTGGGACTGAGCCAGGCATCTAATGTTAGTATAGCTCGTAGCTGACAGGGAAGAGAAATACTGGCAGCTGCTAACCATCCATGCCAACCCAC